GAACTCAACTTCCTTTGTAGCCATGTCTCCCTCATCTCTCAAGCTCTCTCCTGGGCTCCAGCCAACTTGTTCCCCAAAGGGGCCCTTAGCCTTTTCATCCTGCAGTGTCTTTGCTTATGCCTGCTCCAGCTTGCTCCTTTCCTTGAAGTGAATCTGAACTGCCTGATTCATCCAGGCTGTTCTAAAAAGCCACCTTTCCCAAGAAGGCCTTTCCTGATCCCTTGCCCATAGTGTCCCATGATGTTTTGATCCTTTCCAGCCCCAGTGGGACATGACTAAGATGGCGCCATGCCCCTTTGTTAGGACAGCTACTCTGATGGTGCAACTCTTCTCCATGGAGGCACCATTGGCTTCCTTTGCTTTAAAAGCAGCTGAGCTCAGGGCCTCCTGCTAATGAGCAGAAGAGCAGTTTTGGAATTCACATCCAGCTGGTCCCATCCCAAAGCCCACTGTATCCAAAACCCCATCTCTACCCCTATTTTCCCAAATGGCACTGTATCTGGAGCTGCCTATTGCCCTGGTCATAGGGATTGGAGGCATGGCCCCTGAGGCCAAACTTGTGTTTTAATCCTGGTTCCACCACTGTGAGGCCCACTTTTCTGGGCTTCAGTTTCCACATCCATAGAATAGAGATTTTGAGAATAGGATTGTTGTGAGGGTGGAATGAAATACTGCATCAAAGGTCTTAGCATAGTACCCAGCACATGGAAATGCTACATTAGGATTGACAATCTTTATACTGTTTCATCTCACATATAAGAGCCCTCCTTCAGTAGGTTATGAGCTCCCTGAGGGCAGGAACTTGTGGCTCTCAGAACCCCCTGCTTTGCCCACACAGCGCCTGCTTCCTGGCAGGTGCTCAGCAAATGATAATTAAATTAATGACCTTGGTGATGCTTTCTCAATAGCTGGCTTTTCTACAAAGAGGCCCACAAGCTGCCAACTGGTACTCCAAAGGATAACTGGCTTGACATCTAAATCACCTCCCCAGGGAAGGTCATTTCAGCTCCTGGCTGAAAGCAGGAGCTCCCAGTTTCTTAGCAGCTTGTCCCTAAAGAGTGTTTGACCCCAGTTTGAGCTAGTGACTTCCAGTTTTCAGAGTCTGCTGTACTCAGTGTCTTGCTCTGTTGCTCCTGGATCCCATCAGACCTTTGGATTGAGATCATGGGTAACATTTAAGCAGAAGTGTGAACCAGGCAGATAATCTAGTAATGAGGCCAAGAGGATTGTACAGTTAGTCATGTCTCCTGGTGAATCAGCTTCCTGAGGAGACCTGCAAGAGGGAAGTTTCTGGACAATGAAATGGAGCCCTTAAAGTACTACAGTGCTTTATTATTTCCCCCATATTATTGGAAAATATCCAAAAATGCATTGCCTACTTTTCAGTCTTGTTAAGCAGAATGCATTAAACAAACTGTCACTGACGTTGGCCACTGTTGACCAAGAACTTTCACTTAGGGAGTTTATAGAATCTTTCAGGCCTCTGGGGGTGGGTGAGTCAGGATCATTGTCTCTTCCTCACAGATGAGGAAGTTAAAGGGCAGGGAGCTTAACTTCTTCTGACAGGAAATGGTGGGACAGCACCAACACTCTTCTTTGACATACCGTTGACGTTAATTGCCCTTCATGGTTGCTGTCTTTTGCACAATGCAACCATTCTGGAAACTCAGAATTGGTAACTGTTCTCCAGGTGCCGTGGTGTTGATGTGGGTCAAGCCATGTGCCCCGTACTCAGTGGCCTCAGGTTCCTGGGCTCTGACAGTTATTTCAATTGTTTTTTCCTGGCTTTCCTACCAAGAAAAGTCACTCTCACCTCCAGTCCTGTCCAATTGCTGGGTTTGAGAGAAAGAGGTTAAACTGCTTGTTAGAACTGTGAATAAAATAAGAGTCTCAGTGTCTACCGAGTTGCTTGGGTTATTTCGGGGTTTGCCTTTCTCAGCTGTGTTTGAGTAGGCATAGTCCTCAGATCCATGATCCACTGCCAAGAGATGAGAAGGGCCAGCCTTGGGGTCACACACATACCCCTGGGGTTAAGTCAGGGACCTATCAGTTTTCAGGGCAAATTATCTCACTTCTGCCAGCTTCAGTTGCTCTCACTGGTAAACCAGGATTGATAACATATGCCTCTTGGGGAGTTTTCATTGTTTTGTTTTTTTCATTTTCTTTTCTGTAGCACTGGGCATTGAACTAAGGGCCTTGAGTGCTCTACCACTTGAGCCACACCACCAATCCAGATGGGGAGTTTTCAAAGAGTCCCCAAAGAGATAATCAACATGCTGTGCCTAGCCCCATGTTGGTTTCAGGTCTGTAAGTTGAAGTATAAGACTGATCATTCATTTGTTCATTTCCCACATATTCATGGACTGCTTACATCTCTGGGCCTAGTCTCCGTATCTGCAAAAGGATGATAATGTGAAGACTTAGAGTGCATGTAAAGTGCTCAGAAACCGTGCAAGGAACTAAGTGCAGCAGATATAATAAGTGCATAGTACCTAGTTGTGCCAAGGCATGGTGTGAAGCAGGCTCTAGGGTTAAAGAGATGGACATGCCGTTGGTCCTAATGGAGTATGCAGGCTCTTTCCCTGTTATTTTCCCCATAAGGAGAAAAGCCAACCAGGGTCGCCCCTAAGGCCCTCAGCTTGCTGGCTGCCACCCCAGGAGTTGGCATGGGAGTCTTCCCTCATCAAGTCTCTGACCCTGTGCTCTGGGTTTTGTTCCAGCTCAGTCCTGAGAGCCCCCCAACAGTGAGTCCGATGGAGAGAAGCATGTCTGTCTTGCCTAAGTCAGAGCCATGAAGGTCAGTGCCTGTGAAAATGCCCAGAGACCTTCAGAAGGCCACATAGACTGGAGGTCTAGGCAGGGAACCTGGTAAGGGAAAGGAGCCCTGAATTTGGAGTTAGGGACAAAGGGTAAGTCCTGGCCCTACCACTTAGTAGTTGTGTGGGTCTTTTGCAGGCTGCTTCTCCTCTCTGAGCCTTGGTTTCTTCTCTGTCAAATGGAAAAGTGATAGTCCACTCGAGGGGCCTGCAGAGAGGAGGAGATGGAGTGCAATCCAAATTTAAGGGGCTCCAAGACCTTTTCAAAACTCACTGCCTTTGGGAAGTCTTCCGTGAGGGTACCGTCCCAATGCAGTTCGCTGCGCCTGCCTCTGACCTCAAAGCCTTTATTTATCCTCCTGCCAGTGCAGGGCTCCTTACTTGCTCCCTGGAGACAGAGTGGTGGCTTGTTGGGAGGCCCCCAAGAGATGCAGCTGTTGGGAATGGAACAGAGCAAGACTGGGGAGCAGAAAAAGCTGACAAAGTGAGAGAAGCTGGCACACAGCAGGAGCAGCTGATGCAGAGGGAGAAGCTCATACACAAAGGAAGAAGCTGCTACACAGAAACAGCTGCCCAGGCCTCAGCTGATCCTCCAGGGAGTGCTGAGGCGGCCATGATCTTTCAGAACTATTCTAGAGAGGCAAGGAAAGACCCTCTCAACCGGCCTCCTCACCAGGAGGGGTCATAACCTCGGGCCAACAGTTGGCTCCTGGAGCAGAGGGTAGGTCTCCCAGTGCAGGAGAGTGTTTGGGACAGCTTGGAAACCCTCTCTGAAGAGACTGCTAGGCACTGCAGACCCCATGGAGAAGCAAACCTAGAATTTCTGCCTTGCAGGTTTATGCTTGGCTGACATTTCCTGTTTAGTATCTGCATTCAGCTCAGCAGCCTTCCTTGGGCCAGAATGTTCAAATTAGCAGAGCTCTCAGTTGGTGCTTAATAAGAATCTATTGGATTAAATTACTAGCAATGTGCCCAGTCCCTTTCCTTTGCCTCTTTACACTGTCATCACCTCCTTGTTTGAAAGAAGTGAGTCCTTTCTTTGTGGACCAAACCTGTGTATTTAGGGTTCTTGTGCAAAACCCAATTTTAAAACCACCTGCATAGAAGTTGAAGTGAAGGGTAGCTGGGACTAGCCTGGTTAGGGCCCAGCCTGGCAACATTCACCAGAATTTTGCCAAAGAGCACAAAATAGCCAGGGCACCTGGTGAATTCTCCTGGGCCTCTGCCACAGGATGGCATTTTGAAGTTTTCCTGGGAAACTTTGCCACCAGCTGAAAATCTAGCTGAAGCTCTGCATCTGCCAAGATCTCTAGGCTCAGCTGAGCCATTGTTCATGCTCCAAGCCCTGATGTTATCAGATTCAGCCTGATTTCTGATGGGGCCCATGTAGACCACTTGGATTGAAAGAAAGCTGTGGACAGACCATGTGGCAACTCCATGATGAGGCCCGAGCCTCCATGGTCCCATGGGATGTGTACCTAATACAGGCACCACTTCCTACTGCTAATTGTCATGCGAATGCTGTGTTACTGAGACTGTGCTTATGGTACAAAACACTTCTTTGTATCATTCCAACTGGTCCCCATCAGAAGGCTGTGGGAGTCGACAGTTCTATGATAGTGAGGAATTTGTGCCACCTCTCTGGACCTCTGTTATCTGTCTCTAAAGTGATAATAGACACTCTTAAGTTGTGAGGATTGCATAATGTAATTCATGCCAAGCCTGTAAAGTTTCTTAGCACAGTTTTGATATTACAGATAGAAGAAACCAGGCTTCGGAGGAGGTGACCTTATGACTCAGATTCTAGGTTAAAGAAGGGAACCACCTGGAATGACGGTGAAATGGAGCTGGGTTCTCCTGGGTGGTCGGAGTTTCCATTACAAGCCATATATGTGCCTCTTAAACTTGGAGACAGAGAGTCTATAGACTCCTCCAATGCCATCAGGATAGTGTTGCCAAAGAAAGAAAAAACCCACAACATTTGCACTTTTCAAACAATTGAGCCCTTCTTATTTTTTATATTCAGGTCTAAATACCGGGAAGGGTATCATATTCAGAGATAATTAGGTCTGGGAAAGATCTCTCTGAGCCCTCTACTGAGGCTTTCAAAGGCCTGTGCTGCAGCTGGGTTTTATGCCCAAATGGCCTTGTCCCATTTCAGTCACTTCCTCCCTTAATAGGAATTCAGCTGGCAAACAAAGACAGGACCCTGGCACCCTGGACCCCTTGGTCTCCTCAGGAATGAAGGTCATTTCCATCCTCATTGTCTTCATCTGCTGTAAGTACTAAGCCATCTGGGACAGGATGCTGTCCTGTTTACCTCATTGGGGTGGCCCTTCTGGGGTGGCATCCAGTGAGGGAAGGGCACGAGTCTCTCAGAAGAGAACCAGGCTGGTGCTGAGGTTCTGCTTGTTTCTGCTACCAAATGGGCTGGTCCCAGTGCTTGGACCTCTTAGAACTTGTAGGAAATCCAAGGTCACTACCATGTACAGGAGAGGGTGTTTGGTTCTGGTTTTCCCAGTCCGGCTCCAGGAGACGCTTTTCCTTTGGATGCTGATTGCCTTTTGGTAAAATCGTGTGGATTCCAGCACAAAACTACAGACATATTTCTAACTATTTTGATTAATTCTTACCAGGAATTAATCAGGAATATTTATAGGATAATTGGTCATTCTGAATCATTGCTGCCAGGAGATGGGATTTCATACCTCCTCACAGCGAACCAGGGCTTCCTGGGAAACCCCTTGGGGTCTGATGGAAACTTAGACTTCTGCTGGCTTAGTTGATTAGCTATTTGTCCAAATCTATTTAGCTGTCTGTTCATCTGTGTAGTAGTGACTTTTGGCTCCTTAAGTCAAAAATGTCGAAACCAGGTTTTCGCCTTTACCTTACTGGTGGGATTTATATTTTTCAAGGTCATGGTGTAGGGGGTACCTTTGTGCAAGAAGTGCCTCTCTGTAGGCCTGTGGTGTGACCAGTTCTGCACCTGAGCGTGGCCTCTCCCCAGGATCCCCTAGAGCAGCAGATCACCCTGCCCCCATCCCGCCAGTGCTTCAGGGTAGTGGGACTTCCAGTCCGCAATGGGACTGGAAGGTGCCTGAGAAAATTCCCCAAACTGTTTTTCTCTTCAAACTCATGTTTTTACTGGATTTTTATTGCAAAGCTAATACATGCTTGTAATTAAACAATCAAATAAATGACTATATAGTAACAAGGTATAGCCCCTCCTCCTATCTTTTAGAACCTAATCCTTGTGTATACTCAGATGTAACCACTTAAGAGTTTGGTATACACTCTTCTAGGCCTGTACAGACATAATGAAACATTGTAATAAAAAAGTAACACAAGCTTATTGTAAGGGGGGAAAATACACAAACTGCATAGAGCTACCCAAGAGAAACCTGTTTCTTACTCTATCTGCCTCCTGGAGCCCATTGTCTGGCAATACTCTTATTAACACTTCTATTAGGGGTGGGGTATTTTAAGATAGGCACTTTTATTATTATCTTTCTTTTGGTAGGCACAGGTGGATGGATGGTTTGCAATGTTCTGATAATGCAAATAATGCAGCAAACATCCTTGTTCACGCATCTGTGCCCCTTTTGTAAGCATTTTGTAGAAGTAAAAAGTGCTAGGTCCATATGTATTTGCATTTAAAGAAATGGATTTGAAGGTGTCTTTCTTTCCTACCTCTTACATATTTGATTTCTCTTGTGAGATTATAAATGTCTGGTGATATCTGTAGGTATTGGTGTCGTCTCTGGCTTCAAACTATTCTAGTTAACATTGTGTTAGACCTGAGGGGTGTTTCTGCCTGGGATGGTGGCTTTCTGTTTTTAACAGGAAGACTCTGGTTGTCAGTAGAGCATTGTCCTAAACAGGCAAACAAGGTGCCCATCCTAGGTTAGCAAGAGAGTCACTGGATTATGGAGGAGAATCTGGTCCTAGTTTCTTTCCCATGTAAGAGACTGAGGACCAGCCATGTCACATGCTTTGTGCTTTGTGTTACTTGGGAAAGAGTGCTACTGAAGCTTGTGAAGGCAGTATCTGTTTGTGACCACTTCCTTGTCCCTGTTTTCTCCTTGGCAGTGACAATCCCCACCTTCAGCAGCTTCTGGCAGTTCCAGAGGATGGTCAAACACATCACAGGGAGGAGTGCCTTCTTCTCCTATTACGGATATGGATGCTACTGTGGGCTTGGGGGCAAAGGGATTCCTGTGGATGATACTGATCGGTGGGTACAGAGGCTCCTGGCCATCTACCATTTGATTTGCATTGAACTCCAGGCTTGGGCCAGAGGGGACTTGTTAGGATTCTTGAAGGTCAAACAGCAGAAACCAGTTCTAGTCAGCATAAGAAAGGACCGAATTCGAGTTGCAGGCTGGGGCTTGAGGAGCCTGGGCCCAGCCAGCTTCCTGAACATGTGAGCGGACCCTGTACAGCTAAGAGTTCCCATCTTGAAATTCTCCTTCCTCTCCTCCTCCTCCTCCTCTTCCTCCTTTTCTTTCTTCTCCTCTTCCCCCCCTCCCCTTTCTGGGGGTTTGAACTCAAGGCCTTTTGCTTTCTATGCAGGTGCTCTATCACTTGAACCATGCCCCCAGCCCTTTTTGTTTTAGTTATTTTTCAGATAGTGTCTCAATTTTGCCTAGCATTGGCCTCAGGCCAAGATTCTCCTACCTACAACTCCCATGGAGCTGGGATCACAGGCACACACCACCATGCCTGGCTTATTTGTTGAGATGAGGTATCACTAACAATTTTGGCCCAGCTTTCCTCAAATATTGATCCTCCTGATCTCTGCCTCCTGCGTGGCAAGCGAGAATTCTACCACTGAACCACCCATGCACCGGCTCTCTGCCTCCTGAATACCTAGTATTGCTGGCATGGGCCACTGCACCTGGTCACCCCATCTTGAAATTTTTTTTTTTTTTTGGCAGTGCTAGGGTTTGAACTTAGGACTTCATGCTTGCTAGGCAGTTACTCTACCACTTGAGCCACTCTGCCAGCCCTGTTTTTTTATGTTGGATATTTTCGAGATAGATTCTTATGAACAGTTTGCCTGGGCTGGCTTTGAACCAGGGTCCTCATGATCTCTGCCTCCTGCATAGCTAGGATTACAGGTGTAAGCAACCCACCAGCACTTGGCCTTGAAATTCTTAATAAGGGGCCCTCAAGTAGCAGAGCATCTGCCTGGCAAGCACAAAGCCCTGAGTCCCAACCCCAGTACTGCAAATAAAGGGGGGAAGGGTGACTGCACTTTATGTAGTCAGTCACTCCTACCCAGAGCTCTAAGAGCCTTTTATGTTTACCCAGCAAATGTGTTCTACCCACTGCTCCCAAGTTCTTAGGTTGATCAGCACAGCAAGGCTGCCCTGCTGGCTCCTAGCCCTGAGTCCATGTTCTAGGAGAGAGAGTCCATGTGGCCCAGTTTAGAAAATGTGTCCATCTGGTTATGGTCACATGGCACAAATCTGGCTTCCAGACCTACTCCTAAGATGGGATAGCTCTAGAAAAAGTGGGGGCTGCTGTGATTTGGTGAAGGCATGGGGAGGATACAGGACAGTTTGTGTGTCATTTCACTTGAAGAAATAAGGCAAAATTCTCCTTGCCACATGTGCCTAGCATGGATAAATGGCCCCACAGCAGGGCCTGAATTGCCACTGCTGAGCCAGGCTGTGCAACTATGGAAGGGCACTGACACTTGTGAAATGCCTGTTATGTGCCCAGTGCTGGGGCAGGTGATATCCACACAGACCTAACCTGATCCTTACAGAGACTGAGGGAGGCAGTGTCACTGCTCCCATTTTATAGGTGAGGACAGTGAGGATCCCAGACCAAGAGTCATGTAGCCACCTGCCCCACAGGTGTGCAGCTACTAAGTGGCAAAGCCTGGATCAGAGCAAGAACTTCCCTTTCCTTAACAGTCTGTACCTTGCCTGCCCAAGTTCAAAGTGGATCTGAAGCCTAACACTACTAGCCCAGGATGACAAAGGGCCAGGAGCCTGCTTGCGGGTGGGAATGATGAGAGAGGGAGTCAGAAGCATTTTGCTTGGCACTTTGGGTCTTAGAATCCAGTGCCAGCTTTCTGCGTTCCTGCCCCTGGCACGGTGGTGGGCTGAGGTCCATCCCAGCTGTTCTCACTCCAGATGTCCCTCCACAGCTCCCAGCTGCTCTGAGCACAGTGACAGCTAGGACCGCACTGGCTTCTGCTGACAAGTGTCTCCCCAGAGAGCAACACAGTGTGCACATGTTAGGTGCTTGGGAAAAATGGTCAACTAAGTGAATGAGACACGGAGAACTGACGTTTGAGTCCTGGGCCTGTCATCTGCCAGCTGTATCATTTTGGAAAGTCCACCTCTCTGAATCTCCTTTACTCCCTTACAAGAAGGGAACAGTACTTTATACGATGATTGTGAGTGGCCAGTGTGACAGCAGCTGGCACTAAAGAGGGCTCGATGTTACTGGCTATTTGTATTATTTTCCTTTTTGTTTCTTTGTTTGGTTTATGAGATAGGATCTCACCGATATAGCACAGGCTGTTCTGGAACTCACAATACTCCTGTCTCAGCCTCCCAAGTGCTGGAATTACAGGCATGCAATACCATACTCAGTTTATTATGTTTAACATTATAGTCAGCCCTTTGGATCCACAGCTTCTGTACTATTGATTCCACCAACCTAGATTAGAAAACATTTTAAAAAAAAATTACATCTCCCCCCCCCAAAAAAAATTACATCTCCCCCCCCCAAAAAAAATTACATCTGTACAGAACACATACAGACTTTTTTCTTGTCATTCCCTAAACAATACAGTCTAACATTTATATAGCATTTACATTTCATTAGGTATTATAAATCTAGAGATTTAACACACATGGGAGGAAGTATTAGTGCTATGCAAATATTATGCCAGTTTATTTAAGAGACCTGAGCATCCCAGCACCTTGGTACACTCAGGGGTTCTGGAACCCATCCCCCTTAGAGACAGAGCAACAGATAAACCTCCCCACCTCCAGTGCCTTCTCCCTCAGGAGACGAGGCCAGCGAGTCCTTTCTAGGTCCCACCCAAGGTCCTCCCACTAACTCCCCAGGGATCCCTGTGCAGGTGCAGCCCCTCATCTCCTTCTTGTTGGGCCTCCAGGTGCTGCCGGGCACACGACTGTTGCTACAAAAAGCTGAAGGAGATCGGCTGCCAGCCCGTGTTGAATAGCTACCCATTCCACATTGTCAACAGCACGGTGGTCTGTGAGTAGCCTTTCCTGCAGGGAGATGTCTTTGAACCTGGGCCTTTCCTTAACGGCCACCTCCTGGTGGACCTAGTGATCTTTTGGGCAATGGGATTTTCCTAAGTGCTTTGAGATGGAACTGGGTGATTCTGAGAAGTAGAGCTTCCTGGAGAGTCTTTGCTTGATCTTGCCCCAGTCTCTTCTGCCCACAACTGAATCTCCGGCACCCTCTAAGAACCCAGAGCCTGGCATAGAGTAAGTGATCAATAAAGAGTTGTTGACTAGTGATCACACCCTCTTTGCAGCTTCCCTTGACAGCTGTTTCTGTTGAGAACATTGTTCCTTATTTCTGTCATGTGCTAACAAAGAGGTTCAGCTGTCTTTCAGTTGTACAAATATTTGTTAAGGGCAACTGCATGCCACACACTGTGATCGGTTTGGTGGGGGACACAAAAGTAAGTAGGAGGGGCATAGGAAGGGAAGGGAAAGAGCCAGGGCAAGCAGTAGCACAGTCTCCACCCACAGGATAGGACCTGGAATCTGGAGTGCATGTGAGCCTGGGGGTGTGGGTTTGTGTAGAGAAAATCAGGTCTAATGAGCCAGTGCACTTGGAGGCTCTGAGCAGCAGCCTCTGTGACTGCCATCTGTTCAGTTCAGCCAGGTGGTTTAGATGCCCCTTACACTGTGCAGCTTGGCTCCTGCCTGGCCTTGTGGAGTTGCAGGAGTCTCTTTCCTCCCAGGTATATCTTTCCCAGCTGTGAGTGTCTCTCGGTGTTCACCTTCCTCCTCCAAGGTCAAGGAACCACCACCACCTGCACTCCACTCTTCTCTCAGGGCAGATTGTAACCCCCTGCCAAATGGGCTACTCAGACCCAGGGCTCCACAGTGTCCAGGAGTCCAGCTCAGCACAGAGGAGTACCATAGTTAGACTGGGAGGAGTACCCAGTTCTCCTGGCACCAGCCATGAGACCTGAGCACTCTGACAACTGGGAATGTGCCCCCTTTCCCATGGCAGTTCAAGGGGACATCCTGAGTGGAGCTCTCTGCCCATGGCCATTCTCAGGCCTAACATAACGCATCTCTTCTTCTGTGCCACCCCCAGGGCTACATCCAGGGCAGGAAAAGGCACCAGGGTCTGGAGGGAGCAGAGAAGTTCCCCCAGAGCATTGTTTGTTTCAACATATCTATGATGCTTCCTAAGGCCGGGAACCAAATCTCTGTCCCACATCGGGAGTGATGGTGGTGGGGTGCCTGACTGTGGGTTACTGGGGGCGGGGGAAGGAGTAACACAACAAAGATACCCCTGACCCTTTCCCAACCTGGCTCATGTCTTGCTTTAATGTGACTTCCTCTCACCTTTCTTCATTCTAATATCTGTTGCATCAAGTGTGAACTTACAGTGGTTGAAAAGGTGTCACTTTAGGTGAGGAATTCTCCTAGGAAGTGCAGGAGTCAGAGAAGACAGGGAAGGTGACTAGGAGGGAACTGAACAAAGTGGAATCTGAATAGATAAAGAGAACCTTCCCCCACTGAAATTCAAGGCCCAGGCCAAGGGTCTTGTACCCTGCTCCTGCAGGCTGGCTGCTCACAGGGGCTATGTGTTGGCCTGGGCACTCTGCACCCCAGGAGATGAGGAGCGGGTAGAGTGCCAGAAGGAGATCTGGGGCAGAAGCTGGAGCCCCCATAGAAGGCACAGGTCCCTAATTGTCACATGCTGGGTAGTAGCAGGAAGTGCAGGCAGGGGCTGCCAGTCACCTGAGCTGGGTTTGCCTCACATGCTTCCCTGAGCCTTGGCCTGGTCTCCTACTGTCCGGAGTCCTGCTCCAGTGTGGGAGAAGGCTTCTGCCTCAGCACTGGGGCATCAGCCTCACCCTGTGGTGAGCCAAGAGCCCAGCACTCTGGGTTCTGATGTAGGGTCTGCTGCTGCCCTGTGCACCACCAATGTTGAATGAACACCCATGGGTGCCTGTCCAGTGCCAGAGTAGTGCCAGGGCCAGGCACAGAGTAAAGCAGGCCTAGCCCCTGTTCTCCTGGTGTTCACAGTACTATGGAAACCCCAGAGCAGAAAGTGCCCTTGGGGACCATCCTGACCAACCTCTCTTTGTAGTCTTGGAGAAACTGAGGACCCCAGAGGGGAAGGGTTTTCTCCAAGTAATAGCCAAGGTTAAGATTCTTGTGTCTTGAACCTTTCCAGTGCTCTGGAACTTTCTGCATGGCCTGAGTTATCTGGGCCTCAGTTTCCTCACCCATGGAGTGAGTACAATCACAGTAGCTACAGTTTCTGTGCATCCCGAGTACATGCTTCACACACAGCACCTTGCCCCTCCCCAGGTGCTATTCTCCCCATTCTTAAGAAGGATGCTGAGGCTCAGAGAGGTTAAGTGAGATGGCTGAGCCACACCACCAGTGAAAGAAGAGTGGAGATTCAGACCCAGATGGTACCGCCTCCTACCACCGCACGCTGTAGAGGTGATGAGCATGGCTTGAGTGGAAGGCTTTCACCCAGACATAGTCTCATGGTCTGCAGAAAACTGGTCCATGCTCTGCCCTGGCCTGGGAGCATACAGGAGAGGCAGATGGAGTTTGGTCCTCACTAATGCCCCAGATTTTTCTATTTCTGCTAAGAAGTCTCAGAGTCCAGCAGAGCTGGGCCTAACCAAGCTCCACCCCTCCCAGCTGGGCCTTACTCTCCCCATCTGTAAAGTGGAGTTAATCGCCTGAACCTCTGAGGTTGTCGGGTGACAAGTGACCTGCCGGAGGGCTGACCCACACCAGGTTCTTAGTGGCCTTCTGTTTAGAGGTGGGATTTCTGGGGTTTTCCAGATTTCCTTTTTCCTTTTACTGTACTGTGGGAAAGCACTGGGTTTGTCTGGATGACTGCTCAGAGGTCTCTTTGGAGAGTCTGCTTCCCCTTGGATGAAGGTCATTAACATCACCCTTATAGAATGAAACCTCTTCCCCTAGCCCCAGTTACACCTCAACTCAAGGGCTAACACTCTCTGGCGGCCCCAGCTCTGAAATCCTGCACCCAAGCCTGGCCCCAGGTTGCCTAGCAACCAGTGACTGCTCCTGGAGGAACAGTCTGGGTGGGAGAGGGGGAAAGGAGGAAAACAAACATCTGTCCACTGCTCCAAATGCCACTGGGAGATCAGGGCAAAGAAAGCCCAAAGGCCAGTTTGATTGGAGGGGACATTTGCCTTCCAGTGTCCTGAGAGGGGACTAGTCCTCATTTGAGTGGTTTTATATAAGCACTTGACATTTGCAAGGGACTTTGATCACCTGCAGTGACACCGCTGTCCACCCTCGCATGCATACAAGTGCGGAGCTTGGCTGTGGGAGGCAGAGACTAGTTCTAATCCCCGGTACCACTGTCACCTCCATCTGCAGGCCTCTGACTTCTCCCTCTGCCAAAGCAGGGAGGTGGAGGTGGAAACCTCTGGGAGCCCATCTACAAAGACCTCTCCCCTTTACTGTGGGTGCAGTCCTCACCTCTTGCCGCCTCCACTTGCTGCCTCCACTTGCTGGCTCATCACCCTTTTCCTCTTCTAGCATGTCTCTCCCTGAAATTGTCTTGTGTTCTTCTTTCCTTACTTACCCATTGACCCCTCCACCCCCACACTGGAATTGAGTTCCATGAGGACAAGGGGCAAGCCTGTCTTGTCTGGGGGCTCTCATTTTCACAGAAGATACCTGTCAGGCAACCAAGGCGGGTGGCAAGTGAACACCTGCATGAAAGTCTGGAGGCTAAGGGAGAGGCATGGGCTGAAACTGGGAACTCAAGAGGATGTAAAGTCCTGAGACTGAACAAGAACACCATGAAGGGAATTTGAAGAAAACCAGGCCCAGGCCAGGGTAGGGGCGCAGACAGAGGCCTAGTGAGCCATGGCAGGAAGGTGGGATGCTGCCTTGTCTCATTATGGCAATAAAGTTCGTGGAGTGAGAAAGGACTTTCTAAAGTCATCAGTTCCTTTCTTCATGCCGCAGTTTCTCCTTTGGCATATTAGAAGATGCAGGATTTGGATTTAGACTTTTTTTTTAAAGGTGATTTCCAAAGATGGCATTTTTTTGGCTTAGGGCTGCCATTTCTTCCAGGTCAAGACTGGAGGATGCTGCCAAAATGATAACCCCTGGCAAAAGACCACTGCCCAAATGACGATTCCACACATTAGAAAGGATTGGAAGAGCCAGGCATGGTGGTTCATGATTGTAATCTCAGCATTGGAAAGGCTGAGGCAGGAGGATCTGAAATTCAAGGCCAGCCTGGGTTACAGGCTGTCTCAAAAACAAGAAAGAAAGGAAGGGAGAGAGAAAAGGAAGAAGGGAAGAATGGAGGAAGGAAGGAGGGAAGGAAGGAAAGATGGGAGGGAGGGAGGAAGAGGGAAGAAGGAAGACAAAGCAAGAAGGGAGAGGGAAGTGAAAGAAAGGAAGGAGGAGGTTTATAGAGAATTGAAGTGCAAGAAAGAAGTGAAGGAAAAGAAGAGAGGGGCAGAAGACAGAGATATAGAGAAAGACAATAGAAGGAGGGGAGAGAAGGTACCCAGGACAATGAGAACAGCGTCTTGATTCAGGTCTCCAGTATGGTAGCAGCAGGCCACTGGGAAGAGAGCAGGTCGACCAGGGTGAGGTTTGTGCTCAAGCAGCCCACACCCACTGAGAAGATGGGGCCTCTGGCTGTAGCTGCTGCTCTGGGAGGCATGCAAGGGGTGTGCTGGGGACCATGGAGAAGAGAGATATGTGTAGGGTGGGTCTCTGAGAAGAGTCCCTGGGGAGCTGGGGCTTGATGGGTCCGGATGGACTTTCACAGATGGAGAAGGGGGAGTGGGACAGCCAAGGGCGACCAGGCATCAGGAAGAGTGGGAGCAGTGTGGACGTTCTGGGCACATTCCCAAGGGTGAACGGCGTGGGGTAGTGACATGTGCCCTGAGACAGGAGTGGGAGGACAGCAGAGAGCCTCCAGCCAGCACTTGTCCAGAAGACAGATGCTGCTTCTTCCCACACACGGTGTGTTGCCATCATAGCACAGGTGTCTGTGGAATGTGCTCCATCGGTGAGCAGCAGCCACAGCCATCCTCCCACCGTCCTAGGAGGGAGCCGCTGCTGTTCATCTTTGCAGCTTCCTGTACCACCTCATCCATGCAGACACCAAAAACTAACCCCAGGTCCCCAGCCGGGGAGTCTGGGGACCTCCTTCACATTCTCAACACCACGAAGAGAATGGAGCTGGGGTGAATTTTGTAGAAAGAGGAAGCCGTGCGTTAGGCAGTCCCTGTGGCCTATGGCCTGTGTCCTGTGCGCTCACACACTTGCATATGTGCACATGAAGCACTGGGGTTTAACTACTCAATACAAGGCCCCCATCTCTTGGCTGCTCAGACAAAGAAAAGACACTGATCTAAAGGTGCCAGAGCTTCATCATATACTCAGCAGCTCTTTCCAAGCAGCTCCGATGCACTGGCATCTGTTCTGGATGTTGGAGATACTGTGATGAACCAGACAGAGCCCCAGCCTCGCGGAGCTTGCAGTCTGTAGAGGAGAGATAGGCATAGCAAGTCAGCAAATAAGAGAAGTGAGTGCAGGTTGGATAGTGAAAATTATGGGGTGGGAGGGGATGAGGAAAGAGTGGCTGGGGGAGAGCCTTAGACCAGGTGGCTGGGGACAGCTTCTCTGAAGACCTGGAATTAGATCAAGACCCAAAGTGTAGAATGGACCCCACTACTGGAGGTCCTTGGGGAGAAGACTTTTAAGCCAAGAGACTAGCACATGCAAAGGCCTGGGGACAAGGCAGAGCAAGACACTTGACCTGAAAGAGGTATGCCTGGAGCAGACTAAGGGTGGGAGAGTGGTGGTTCAATGAGGAAGGGGAGGGTCCTGTTGTGGCAAGTGTGCTCTGTGTCACCATCAGAGTTGGACGCGTCTCTTCTAAATAACAGGAAACCATGGTGGGGCATTAAGCAGGAGAATGAACTAAATTCAGGTGACATTTAAGACTGACCCTGACTCCCTGACTCCCGTTAAGAAGGATGATCTGGCAGTGAAGAGATTTGGGGAGTGGCCAGGATGATAGAGAGATGAAGGCGCAGCTGGAAGTGGTTTAAACATGGGGAAATTCATGGGACTTGCCATAGGTCGGATGTGGAGCGTGAAGGAGGACAGGGAGCCAGTTGGTGCCATTTCCTGAGTGTGAAGGGAGAACGGGGGCACTGGTATTTCCAGGGTGCCCTTCTGACTGTCATTTCCAGTTGGAGAAGCCTGAGACATCCTTGTGGGATGTCAAGCTGGCATTTGGAAATAGTTGATGAGCTCTGAGGAAGTGAGGTCCACCCATTCCCTCGGCCACTCTGTGGGTAAAGTGCAGAAATTCAGGGCTCCCTCCATGCAGGCTGCCCCCTCCCCTTTGCTTCCTTCTAGGCTCCTCACTGCAGTACTGTGGGCTGCCAGAATGTGATGGCGAAGGGCTTGCAGATGAAAAAAATAAAAGACCCTGCTTCTTCCCTTTCTGTCTTTGACCCTGGGCCACTGTAGTTCCCTTAGAATCCCAAGCCACGGGGTGGGTGGAGAGCCCCAGTGACCCTGTGTGTCTCTGCAGGTGGATGTGCCCTGGGTGGCAACTGCCTCTGTGGGCTGAAGGCCTGTGAGTGTGACAAGCAATCTGTGTACTGCTTCAAACAGAGCCTGCCCACCTATGAGAAAAACTTCAAGCAGTTCTTCTCCAGCCGGCCCCAGTGTGGCAGGCGGAAACTCCGGTGCTAAGGAGGCCACGGTCCCCTTGTCACTTAGCATCTGGGCTAATGTCATTCTTTGGGAAGCCACCTCCCACCATCTCTGACAGGCCCCATTACCTGCATCTTACCCTTCAGTACTGCTGCCTTGATGTGTCTTCTCTCTCTGAACCCAAGAGATGAGGAGGTGACAAATGAAGCAAAATCCCTACCCTGAAGTTCGGCGCTTATTCTGATGGAGACAGACCACACTTGTCTACTAAGTAGACACAGTCTACTTAGTCACACAGTCGCAAATTGCTGCAAAGGCAGAGAACAAGGGGAAGAGAACAGAAATGCTGCCAGCCCCCTCCCAGGAAGGTTCTGGGAGGCGACAGGCTCCAGGATCTACCCCAAACTCTCCTCCACCCCCATTTCCACCTCCCTGTCAAGATGCAGGGCAGACTGGGGATTCAGGTCCACAGTACAGATCTAGCTGTACTAGAGATCACGGAATATAAGGTGTCGAGAGCTACACCTGGAGTTAGACTCTCATTTGCTTGAGGTCTGCCTTCTGAAAATCTCAGGCAGGAAAAATTGATGGCATGTTCATGTCCCAGGAGACAAGGCACCATGAGAACATTGGCACCCATCACTGCCATGTGGATGTCATGGCCAGGAAGACGTCAAGAGATGGAGAAGGTGTGGGAGAGCAAATCAGAGGGATCCCAAACTTTCACCCAAATTTAGAAGCCTCTGGTTCCATCAGACTTAAATTCTAATAAATATGAAAGTGGTGTAATCTGGGTGGATTCTGGTGTCTATGGAATAGTAGCTTGCCAGCGTGACCATGATTGCTCTGGCTTCCTTGTGTGCTTGCCTTCTACACTGTAACACTCAGCTTGTCTGTCCAGGGGCAGAGTCTCTTTCCTACTCCTTGAACCTGGACTGGCCTTGTGACTCATTCTGTGCTGTAGAATGCAGCTGAAGTGATGGTTTACTGACCCCAGGCCTTGTCCTCTTAGGTCCCGAGCATGTCTACTCTGGGGGGTACCTACCTCCATTGGGAGGAAGCCTGGGCTCAGGTGGTGGGTGAGAGTCACTTGGGTCCATGTCAGCAGCTCAGTTGTCTCAGCTGAGACTTCAGACATGTGAGAGCTCAGATGCAATCAGCAAAGCTGGCGCTGCCACATGGCTGGTCACATGCACATGTGAGAGCCCAATTGACCCCAGGCTGAACTGCATCTTGCAGAACCATGAACTACACAAAAGCTGCTGTCTTAGTCAGATGTTCTGGCATGGCTTGTTATTTGGCTTTAACTAATGGATGTTATTGATCTTTATTCACTGAGGTTCCTGGGTTCTCAGAACTGTGTCAGACTTAGAACATTGTGACATGGTCCTTGGCCCCTCCTTGGTAGGTAGAGGGGGAGAGGGTCAAACTCATGTAACGATGGCAAGCACACAGATTGCTGTAATTGTTTAGGTCATCAAATATGCATTTTGTGGCCACCTGCTATATGCCGGGGCAGTGCTGGGCAGCAGAATTTTGAAGAAAACACACACATAATCAAAACCAGGTCTGAAAATCCTGGGAGAATGGTGAGAGCCATAGTGGCTTTTAGGGGTCCTAACACCTACAGTCTGGGTTGAGAAAGGAAGTGATGTGAAGACAGAAAGGGATGCCAGAGGTGAACTGTCACAAGAGAGTTTAGGAACCGGGGCCCCTGGGCTCTGCCTGACTTAACTCACACACTCATGTGACAAACTTATCTGCCGTTTCCCCTCCCCAACCTGCATGTGCACAGAAAATGCACCTGCAGAAGAGGAGCCCAGGCCTTTGAGCATTGGGGAGGGTCTTGGGGTGGCTGGGTCAAGCCATGGCACCTCCCTGCCTGGAGGTTTCTGACCATAGCAAAGACCAGCTCTGGATGGGAAGGGGTCAGTCCAACAGCCATGTGGAGAAAAAGCGAACAGGACAAGGCTCAGTGTGGAGGCCAGAGATCTGGGCCTGTCTTCCACTTCTGGGATGCCAACTACTAGTCTGGTAGGAAGGATGGACCACAGATGGCATGCGAGCCCATACAGCGTTGTTCCTGAAGCTGAGAGGAGTGAGGTGGGGCTGTAGAGGGATGTTGTTGACATTCACAGGGAAACCTCTCTGTCCTTGAAAAGGCAGTCATTCCAACTCAGGCCCTGTGTGAGGGGAGAGAAATAAACACGCGCTCCACTCCAAGGGGCTGCCAGACCACAGGGAACACAAGAAATGTGTGATTGTGAAACCAACTGGAAAGTGCTGAAATGGGTGTCAGCCTGGAGAACAATGGCCGCTGTCCAGGAGGAAGGCCTTCTTGAGGAATGCTGGTGGTCTGACACCTTACTGAGACCTGAATGAGGAGGAATTAGGAAGTCAAGTGGGGATGTGGGGAGCCCCCAGGTAGAGGGATTAAGGACAATTAAATACACACAAATGTGTGCCTTTTCCAGTCACAGATGAGGGCCCCTTCTCCATCTTGGATGCTCTAGAGCGTCCAAGTCCCACATTCCACCTCCAAGCCACTGACGCTACTTTCCCAATGCATCTAGATTCTGTATTTATAAAACACTTTGGTGGTGTGATAAGATCACTTCTTATCACATTTATGGTCTCCCACCATCTTGGGGCCAGAGTCCCATCTCCTGTTCCTGGGTTACTAGAACTTCATGGTTCCCTCTTCATCCACCCCACCCCTCCACCTTCTCCATACAGCAGGTAGTCAGCAGGATGATTGGGTCTGCCATGTCACTCCTACCATGCTCCCCAGTGGCCCCCTGAGCTCATATCTGTACAAAGCTATCGATTTAATACTGCCCAGGGCCTTCCCCATCCCATGAAGTTCTTCTCAGTGCACTATATACCCACTCACTCCTCATATATGGTCTGTCACCCTTACTACAGTGTATGTGTATATGGAGTGATTAGAGGTCAAGATACATGTGGAAGGTGAAGGAATTTTCAAGTAGCTCCCAAGCAGGGAGCATGGAAAGTGGGGGAGGTGTTTAGAGTGAGTAAAAGATGGGTGATTAGGACCAGGTCAAGGAGAGCTGTGGTCACTTTGAGAAGCCCGTTCTCGATTCTGGGAGCGGTGGAGGTCAGCAGTGAGGTTCTCATCACTCTCCTTCTGAATGATACTGACTTCCTAAAGCCCCACAGTCCTCATGAGCAAGATGGGTGGCTGTGACTTTGGCATTGGTACCATCTGGAGGACATGCCAGGCAACAGTGGGGAGCTCCATGATGTTAGCTCCCTTCACCACATGCCATGCTGTTAAAGCATGTGGACAGAATTTGAGTGCAGATATAGTTTTTACAACAACTTTCTTTACTTTTCAACCAGCCATGTTTCCTGAGGTCTGGTTGAAGCTGTCAGATGTCAAGATGGTAGCGTGGTGGGCTTTTCAAGGAGGGCAGGGCTTAGGCTCAGCACCTCACCCAGGAGTGGCTGTCACTCTTTGGGGCTGACTGTGCATGTGGGAGCCAAAGGAGACAGAGTTGCTATTATCCCATTCCCATTTGAGGGGTCTGTGAATCCAGGAAAGGCATGGCATGGGGTACATCACACATGGGTATGGCTTTGGGCCCTGAAGGGGGAGAGCCAGCTGGTGAAAAGTGGGTGACTAGGTCTTTGGATCACTGAGTGCTTTGGTAGTGGCTCAGGCTGCAGGCCAGGCATTATCAAGATTGCTTAGGAGGTGTGGCCAAGGCCCTGAGAGCCTGAGTGGGGAAGCAGCATTGTCTGGAAGTGTTCCTGAGCCCCAGATGCTAGAACAGACAGCTCCAGGTAACTGAGTGTTCACCTTCTTGTGTCAGGCACATAGAATTTCAGAACAATCTCCAGGCAGATATGTTTAAAATCTCCAGTCCAGCTGGGGCATACCTCAAGTGGTAGAGCACCTGCCTAATAAGAGTGATGCCTTGAGTTCAAACCTCAGCACCACCAAGGAAACAAACAAAAAAATCCCCAATCCACTGAGGGGCCTGGCTCAGGGGCACATAGCTAGCACACAGCAGAGTCCCGTGCTGTCTAAATCTCCCCTAGGACTTCCCACTTCAGACTGGTCCTAGAAGAAGCCAGAATTGGAGCACTCTGGGGGAGGAGAGAACTCAGATGCTGCTTCAAGTGCCTCCCCTAGGAGCTGGGGAGGATAGAAAGGAAGTTGCCTGTGACTGGGAGTGAGCTGGAGTAAAGAGGCCAGAGAGATGACCACCTGACTTAGGGGAAAGCAGCTGGAGCAAGGAGGACCTCACTGAAGCCCTCTTCTCTCTGGGCAGTGAACAACTGGTATTTGTGTACACCTGTCCCTTCCCGAGGCTCTTTCTCATCGAGGGTCTTATTTATCATTGGATCCCAGGAATTATTCATCCTCATTTCACTGATGAAAAGAGAGAGCAGGTGAAGACTGGGGCCTTGTTGCAGGTGGCTGGCAAGTCCATAGCCTGGAAGGCAAACCAGGTCTTCAAATTCAAAATCTCTTGCTTCCCACCCTTTTCTCCAGAGGAGGATGTTGAACTGGGAGTTTTCTGAGGTTAAGGCTCTGAAGTCAGGGTTCAATTCCTGCATGACCTTGAGTAATTTACTTCTCTGGGCCTCAGCATCCTATTTAATGAATGAAGCTGTGAACAGCCCCCACCTCATAGGGCTGCTGGGTGGGTGAAATGAGATGATTATCCAAGCTCTGAGCACCATACAGTAGGCGTTCAGCGAATCCTACTCTTCCATGGGCCCGACATCCCCGGATCCTGGTCCTGTCCAGGCAGGCTGTTTCAGCAGGGTCACCTTTAACAGAGGGCCATGTTTTTGTTTTTATGTTTGCTGTACACTCCTGCCTTCTGATGCTAGGAAACCTTGGTATTTCTCTCTAGAACTTTACTGTTGTCAGTTGGTGGCATCAGCTGCTTGTTAGAAAGCCACAACTGGGGAGACTGACAGCCAGTGTTGCCGTGCCAGCCTCTAGGGAAGAAAGGGCTGCCTTGTGTGCACAGACAAGGCCTGGATAAGGAGGTGGCAGTCCCCGGACCCAGTGGAGACCATGGTCAGGCAAGGCATCTTCAGTAATATGTGCCCTTGGACTCTTCCTTTCTGCCATCCTCCCTTCTCCTCCTGCTCTCCCCATCCCTGTCGTCCCCCTCATGGGCAGGGAGCCAGATTTTCTCCCTAACTAACAGCTTCGGTTCTGCCAGGTTCCGTTGGGGGGAGAAGGTCACAGGCTTCCCCAGCAACTCCTTTTTCTACCTGTTCTTATTTGCTGATCTAACCCTGAGGACCTTCCCTCTGACACACAAGCCAGGACACTGGTCTTCATTTCTGACAATTTCTGTCCTCTATGCTAGGCTCTGCACCAGAGGTGTTCCCATCCCCCTTTTACCCCCAAAACCTCTGATATGAGCTCCATTATTAACCACTTTGTACACAAAGGCAAAGTCAAGGCTCAGAGGTCACATAGCCCATGAGTGGGGTGCTGCCCAGTCTGTGCTGGGTGCTTCAAGGGCTGGTTTTTGTGAGAGATGGCATTGGTAGCAACGATCAGATGATAAGATGATGGCGGTGACATCTGCTCTCTACTGGACATTGCCTGCCTGGGTATCTCTATGGGGTGGAAGTGTACTGTGGGTCCAGAGCAGAAGGGAAGATGTGGAGAGTAGCTGGAGGTGACCTATAATGTCCACTAGGGGTCACCCAAGTTGTAGAAAAGAGTTGGTCCTGAAAGAGGGTCCCAAAGCTGTGTCTAGGGGAAAGAAGAATGGGAGCGCCCTGTCTCCAGAGTGGAGAAGATGAACCTAGGTCAGTGAGGAGCAACAGTTCTCCTCCTCAGCATGGAAGACCTTACGACTTGGAAAGAGTGACATAAGTCCCAAGAGAAGGAGAGACCCTGACACTATGGAAGCAAGGAGCCCCCACCTCAAAGACGTGCCCCCTACTCCTTCTCTCCACCCCCAGGAAGACCCCAGACACCACCCTAGCTCCTTCCCCATCACCTTTGGGGCACCTTTAGGACTGCTACACGACTCGGGGCATCCTCATCTGTGCTCCCCACTCCACCGGGCACCGCGCATGCAGCAGCCCATGAAGGTTGTGGGTTCGCAAGTTTACTCCCCCCCGCCCACTTCCAGGCCTGGGTTCCTGGCGTCAGAGGCTCGAGGCTCAGCACCACTATTGGTGCAAGTCCCTCAAATGAATGGACCAAAGATGATGTAGGTCCTGGGGACAGAGGAGTGTCTCTCCTCTTCCAGTGCCTTATGGGAAAGTGGGATTGATTGCAAGGCAGGAAGGCAGGGGCTCCATGGAAGATGGCATGTGCTCAGCCTCCTCTACCTGTCCCAGGAAGACTCATGGTTTGGAGGAGCATCAGAATCTGCTGCTCTTGTCACTTCATACTGAAGTGCACACAGATGCCGCCGGTACAGAAAGGAACCCGAGCTGGGGAAGGGGCCAGGGCTGGGACCCAGAGCCAGCTGTCCTCTGTATCCTCATGTAGCTTCCCTGTCACCACTTTTGCTGATTTATTTTGTTGTTTGTTTGAGTTAAGGTCTTACTCTGTGTGCCAGGCTGTCCTGGAATTTGTCATCCTGCCTCAGCCTCCCAAGTGCTGGAATTAATTACAGGCTAGCGTCACCACGCCTGCTCCACTTTCACTTTTACTAAGCATCAGGCTTCTGACCATGAGGGTAACAAGTTCCTGCCCCTCTCTCAGCTCACAAAGTCCTCCCTTTACAAGGTTTCAGTGGTTGTCACACCAAACCTGTGACCTTCAGACCAGAGGTGTAGTCCCATTGCACAGATGGGACCACTGAGGCAGCGGAGCTGGAAAGAGAAAATGATTGGCGGTCTCCAGGACCTCAGCCTGCTCCCTGCTGATTGCCTGCTGTCATTAAAGAGCCACGAGGAAGGGTGGTTAAATGTCAGCTGCTCAGGATTCAGAGCACAGCTATGACCTGTGTAACTCTGTGTCACTTGTTTTCCCTCTCTAGGCCTCAGTTGTTCGACAGAAAGAGGGGAGCCATTGTGGAGGTTGGCACCTGGAAATCCCTAAGCTCAGTCTTGCTGTCATTGTCCTACTGTGGGACTCCAGGCTCTGTCTTCGGGGAGTACCCACCACTTTCAACCTTCCCAGCCTTTGCCTCTCCCTGCTATATCACAGTCACTTGTCTTCAAGATAGGGGACAGGAGGAGACCTGCAGGCCACGTCAGCTGTGGAATGTCAGGGAAACTGCCTTCTCCAGGGCTGGAAGCCCAGGAGGGATTCCATGCTCCTCTACAACCCCAGCCAAAGAGGACCCAGAAGTGGGGAGCCGAGGCGGGAGACCTTTATTTGAGGAGGGGGTGCTGCATCCTGAGGGAATTCTCTGGAAGAATCTGGGGTGAGGGAGAGGATGGTGGGAACTGGAGCAGTGGAATCTCACTGGCCCAGATGTTCAGAAGGGGAGGGTGTGTGTGTGGAGGGGCCTAAAGAACCTGCAGGAGGCTTGAGACACCCATCCCAGCTCCAGCCCTGGCTTGGTGGGGCTGAGGCGGAGAGGAGATGCGAGGCTTGTTAGCCGGGCTCCCTAGAGGATAGATGAAGAAGATCCCAGTGACCGGGCAGATTGGATCACACCACAGCCAGCAGGAGGTGAGCCTCCCACAGTGACCCTGTCACAGCGTCCCCCTCAGTCCTAAGCCTGCTGTTCTAGATCTGCTGCGCTGAGAGGCTTCGGGCTTGTTCTACCTTCTTCTCAGACATCTCTTTCTGCCTTCACTTCCACTCTGCTTGGCTGTCCCTCCCAGTGACAATGATCCATGGGGCACGACCAGGGCAGGCGAGGCTTCCTGGTGACATGGGTGGCATTGTGGATCCTCAGGGTTGACATGGAAAGAAGACTGGCCATGTGGAGGCTGCCGGTCCTGAAGAGGAGGGTAAGGCAAGGAAGGGACAGGGGCCAGTGCGCCTGGAGAAGCAGCACGTGGAAACACCAGCCTGCATGGGTGGGTCCCCTTACCCTTACCCACAATTCTCAAGATCTACCACCTCTCCCCCCTTTTTCCTGCCTAGAGACCACTCCCTTCCAGATGGCCGATGGCCGGCCCTCATCTTGTCTCACTTTGCTCCCACCTACACTTTCCCCTCCTCACCACCCTGCTCTCTCTCTACTCCCTTCCAGAATGTCCCCCCCAGCCTCCTGCCCTGACCCTTGCCCTTCCACCTTTGTGTCCCTCTTCACTGAGTTGAGTCCCAGCCCTCAGCCTCTTCCCCATGGATAGGAATCCTGGCACCTGGACACAACCTAGCCTCTCCCGTGTCCTCTCCAGGCTGCAGCAGGGAGGGCTGGCCTGGCTACTTGCTGTGAAGCGGGTCTGGGCAAGGTGGGTGAGTCAGCAGGGGTGAGGAGAAAGGCTGTCCTCACCCCCATGATGTCCCCATCCCCATCATGGTGTACTCAGAGGCGTGTCACTGTGCATGTGGCCTCAGTATGCCAGGGATACTGCTAAGAGTCACTGCTGATAACCAAGCCTGGACAGTGGAGCTGGGCACATCATATTGAGGCCTAGCCCTGCATTCCTGTGCCGCCTTGATGAAGTCAGCGTGGGATCACCTGCTTGTTAATAGAGCCACAAGCCCCCCAAACAGAGATGAATCATCCTGAGCCACCCTGCAGAGCTGGCCAGAGCCCCCCACAAACCTGGCTTCATGACTGGCACTGTGCCTGCCTGGGAGAATGGTCCCAGGACACACCCCAGCCTGTGCTGGTGGCCTGGGTCTTAAAGACTCTGGGAGTGGAGGTGGGCCAGCTCAGAGGTCCCACCCTTCCCTCTCACATCTTGCCTTCCACACTCGGGAGACCCCAACAAACCACTCTGCTTCCCACAGGGCCAGAACCTGCTCAGGACACCTAGTGCGGGGCCGGGGGCCAGTGGCCCAGGCAAGGTCCAAGGCTTTCTGGAGTTCCCTGGACCCCAGCTTGCTGCAAGGCTCTGGGGAGAGGCAACAGGGCAGTCCTGGGCTCTAGTCTGGCTCTATTCCACATGCTCCCAGGCAGACCCTCCACCCTCTTCTCTCTCAGACCTCTGAGGTGCTATGGAGGGGCGAGGGTCACTGGGGGGTGGTGTCCACAGGTGATCTCCTCGGGGAGCGGGTCATAGATGCTGCAGTTGGGCGTGGGACCCTGACAGTAGATGTTGAGGTAGCCACGGTACTGCTCCCTGTATGTCTGGTTCTTGAGGCACAAAGCCACACTCTTGTCACACTCACACGTCTGCTTGTCACACTCTGTCTCGTTGAGCTCGCCTGTCGAGGAAAGGGGACCACAAGGCTGTGTGTGTCTACTGAGCCTGCCACTGTCCCAGCTTGGGGTGGTGAGGCTGGCCATTCACTCCCACTCCCAGCCCTGATGTCAGGGGGGCAACTCACTGCAGACGACCACAGTGTCATTCTCGATTGTGTGGTCATAGTGGTCCACATAGGGGCGGCAGCCCTGGTCAAAGAGTTTCTGGTAGCAGCAATCATGGGCATGGCAGCACCTGGGGGTGGCAGAGGTGAGCGGGCACAGGCAACTAGCTAGTCTGTCTCCCCCAGCAGAGATCTAGGATCATCTGTTCCAGACTCTGTTGGGCCAGACTTAAGAAATGTGACCCAGAGAGAGACAGTTTCTGCCTGATGTCACACAGTCAGGCAGAGCTAAGGCTAGTGCTCTGGGTTCTTGTCCTTGCTCCTGCCTCTTTGTCCTAACCCCAGGGCTCTCAGCTCCCCCTTGGAGCCTGGATACTTCTGTATTGTGGAGTGGAATTCGTGCATCTCCAGGGTAAGTCAGGGTCTCTTGGACGGATCTGGGATGGGAGCGGGTGTTGAGGCCTGTTGCTTTTTCTAAGGGTCAGCCTCTTGAGAGAATCGGGAGACTGTCATGCATCGATGGCTACTAAGCCTGGCTAATTTGGAACCTGAAGTCGGTTAGGCAGAAGATGTCAGTAAACCAAAGTTTTCTTAAGTTGCGTGTAGTGAGGCCAGGAACACTATGGCTAAAAAAGTGACAGTAGCATATCCCAGCACGTCTAGAAGTATGGGAGGATTGGGTCTCGTAAACTTGCAGCATATTAGGCAATAACTCTAGTCATGGTCTCAATCCAAGCTCATAAGATGACACCAGAACATGTGCTTATATTGCTGCTAACAGATCCACAGAGGCTGTAAGAGCAGAAAAGACTCAATTGTAGTACTTAATAGAAATAGCGTTGCAAGAAGTTCTGATTGATATGAGGAATCAGAACTAGCGCCTAACAATAAGAAACATCGGTGTTGTTGACTGGCAGCAATGCGATATCGCGTGATAAGGGCCTGCTTAGGAGAGCACACCCACACTGTCGCCTGAACTGACCTGCACTATTACACTTATGGCATCGTGTTTTTTTTTCAATGGTAGGTGGAGGACAAATGGCGCAGAACAATGACAATTCGAAAGTTATATCATCTAGGAACGTGTTGATGGGAGTAGTCAAAGCACATATTTCGTCACACTCTAGATATAGAGAGACAGAAGAGCGTGTTCGGTATAAGACAAGATGAGCTCTGGCCACTCAGTCCTATAGATAGGAAACACTGCAGGCTCGAGTGGACGGCCAAAACTATACATTATGATGTTGAGTATAATTGTATATGCAACTATGGCTCTATTAAGCTTATACTATGTACTTAGTATGGTGATACGACAAGGGCGCTGGCTGCGTGCATAATATGAGATGCGGGCAATATAGGCTCTCGGTTCAATACATAAATCAGATTTGATCTCTCAAATCACTCAGGCGATCAGTCTAGAGCTTCATAACCAGCCCGCAGTAGCCGCAGAGAGATTTTTGCCCACGTGAAGATAGTAGCGCACAAATGGACCTTTTCAGTATATGTAATTGAATATGTGATTAAGTGAACAGAGGCAGTTCTGCAATTAGAGCATCCGTCGCGATCACACTGGCATAAGATAGCTGAAGTGGTGCTGATACTCGGCTCTTGCGTGACTAGTAGCCTATCGTGATCATACAAAGAGCAACAAGGCGTACTGGTGGCGAATGAGAATTAGTGAGGGCGCTTCAGAGATCAGGAGGGTTTGGCGACTGGACACGCGAGGAACAGAAAGAGCTTGAGGAAAAAGCCGTAAGCTTGGTTAGTTGGCGTACAAGCAGATATGTAGTAGCACATAGAATTACTGCGTAGACTCATGAGAACTAGTGTAGACTGTTTATATGCGAGGAGCTGGGAACTCTTATGGCTTGTGGCTCTGAGAACAGTATCAAGTGGATGGGTTAGCTATTCATTGCGCTCAGGTGCCTCATTAGTGTCCTCTGTCATTTTACAGATAAGGAGACTGAGGCTGGAGCACTTAGTAGCCCACCTACAGTCCTGTTGTCATAGGCAGTGGAGACAAAAATCTGGTCCCAGGCCTATAGCTTCCTCACACATGGTCTCTGCCACTTGGCTGCTCAGACAACTTACAATGGAGTCACATTCTGGTGAATCCATCATAACTTGAAAATGTAAGTCAAAAATGCATTTCTGACATGTAACCTACCAAACATGCTGGCTTGACAGCACAGTCCACTGCAGAGCATCCAATGTTCCCTCTTGTGGGAAAACATTGCAGGACTGACAGGTGCTGCAACTGTCTCACCAGCTTGGAAAAAAAAATCTATATTCAAAATTCCCTGTCTGGTTTCTACTGCGTGTGAGCTGCATTTGCACCACGATGTAGTCAAAAAACTGTTTAAGGATCTGGGCATGAAGCTCAGTTGATAGAGCGCTTGTCTAGCATGTAAGAGGCTCTGGTTCAATCCTGGGCACCGCAAAGAAAAAGTTTAAGTCAAACCATTCCGAGGTCACAGACCATCTAAACATGCTCCCCAAAGAAGGGCTGCCCAAATGCCTGGTGGGCCAGAGGGAACTTCACAAAAGTCGCATGCTTTTGTGAATGGCAGGAATTTGATTCTGGGTCCTTCTACTCCCTTCCTGACTTCTTCTTGGTGTCCCTGCCCTTTGCGGGGAGTCAGGGTCTCCACTCCTGTCCTGGAGTTGGTGCATCTCAGGATTATGTACAGACAGAGGAAGCAATAGTGCAAGGACACTTCTTCTAGCAGCAAAATCAGTTTCCAGGCCCATAACAGGCCCACTAGGGATGCATTCTTCCCTCCCCACTTCTCAGTCTGTGGTCCCCACCAGTGCCAGTCTCTGCAAGTGTCTGTGCTTCCTCTGCATGGCCTCCTGGCTCAGGGCTGGGTTGATGCAACAAGCCTAGTACCTTCAGTCCTTACCTGACAAAACTGCCCCATACCAGCAGGCGATCTGCTTTGTCCTCATTTTATTGATGAAAAAACTAAGGCTCAGTAAGGAGAGGCCTTGCCTGGGTGATACAGGTTGGAAGTGGCAGAGCCCGGATAGGAAGCCAGGTTTGTTATCTCTGAGTTGGGATGCTAACCAGCACATAGTGTAGACCCTGCCTGTGACCTCCACCCCTGGGCTTCTCCAGCTGTGCCCAGAGTTTGGTGCCCAGCTCAGCACCTGCCTCCTGCTCTCTCCACATCTGTCACCTGCCCCACTGTATGAACAAGGAAATGTTCCAGAAAGAGAGGAGGCCAAGGATTTCAGAAAGCAGAGGCCAGATGGACCCCAAAGACTGCTCTTGCTTACTTCTTGAGACATGGCAGTCCGGTATCTCTACTGACAGGAAACTCACCACTTTACTACACCTTAGTGGGAAGAGCTCAGACTTGGGAATCATATAGATCTGTGCCAATGTCAGGACTAGGGACAATGACCAGAGGTTTAAGTGCCACCATGAATGTGCACAGAGTGTCTGACCCAGGCAGTGCCTTGAGAGGGAACCTGACTGCTGTGAGGACTGCTGCCTCTTTCCCCCTTCCTGCCTCATTCCCAGCAGCTGTACAGATGTTACCCTGTGAGAGGGCAGCTCAAGGTGCTCCTAGCATCAGCAACCACAGGGCAAGAGAGAGAAGCATACCCAGCCCCCCCCCCACACACACACTTGCTGTCATCACTTCGCCTGTAGAACACTCATACTCTCCTCTACAAACCGCATACACTTTGTGCTTACACTCTTACAAACGCACCCACAGGCACCTCACAATACATCTGTGCTACACTCACTCACCTTGCACACCTCCACACACGTTCACCCTCATGTGCATTACAAATCTGCTTGTGCACAAAGCCCCTTGGGGAGAATCAGTGGCCCAACCAAAGCCCACAGGCACACTTCAGGCAGAAGAAGCAAAGCCCATGTTCAGTCAGGCCAAAGGCTCTGCCAGACCAGTGGTTTGGGCAAGAAGCAGGGGCTAGTTTTCTAAGTAACAGGTCACCTTGCCTGAATGCAAACAACCCTTTCTCCTGTTCAGCCACCTTGAACCTTGTCTTTGTTTCTGACATTTATTTCTTTTCCTCAAACCAGGCTGTTTTCAGGTGGTGTTCAACAGGCTGCGTGAAAACCCAGCGTCGGTGTCAGTGCAATCCCATGCACCCAAGGCCCCTGCCACAGGAACACCTGGATGCACAGTGTGTCAGGAGACACTCAGCCATCCTGCAGGGCAGCTGCCCCCTATTCACTATGTTGGGAGTACCAGCCCTGGAGAAGAAGCTCACAGGCACACACTCACCCTACCCAATACACATGTGTGCAGAACTGTACACCCCATGATCAATGAGCACTCCGGAGACACACACCACAATTAACATACATTCACACAGAGACACAGGCTCACACACTCAGGGGCCAATGCTGAGACACATTTCACTGACATGTGTTGTGCACAGCCATCTCCAGAAGCTCAGACACACCTACACAACATGCAGAGACATGTGTCTAGCTGCACACAAACTTGTTAACTCCTGCCGCCATGTACACTCACTGATAGGCACGCTTAGGTACACAAACGCTGGCAAACACCACCATTTTACGATGCTTGCTCAGCTCTGCACAGCTCGTAAATGCCAAAGGCCCCTGGCGTGTTTACAGGTGGCCAGAGAAGCAAACAGCCCAGAGGAGAGGATGAAGCCTGAAAGGAAGTGGAGGCCCAAAGAAAGGAAGGAACCACCTGACCAGTGGAACCATAGTGGAAGGGCCCAAGTTTACAGGGGAAAGGTTGGAAGGGGGAATAGGGGTCTCCCCAGAACCCATGCTCACCACTGCCTGCCAGGACGGCGATGGCAATGAATTTCTTCACACCCAGGCTGGACCTGAGAGAGAGGAGAGCCAGAGTCTGAGTCCCTCCCCACCACCTTCTTGCATTCTGGGCCTACTGCTCTTCCTGGGTCTTACCACAGGTGCCCACCCATGCTGTCCCTTGATGTCCCACTTGCTGTCACCCTAGCCCTATGATCGCTACCTCTCCATCTACCCTGTGCCTCCTGGAGACACACACACCCTAGGGCAGCAGAGCCAGAAGACACCAGAACCAACTTCCCTCCATGTGTCAGCTTCTAAGAAGCCACTGTCTCGGACCCGAGTCAACCCCTCTGGTCCACACTCCAGGGAGTCCTGGGACCAATAGTCATGTCACCCAGGCCGCCAGCTGAAACTGAACCCGGAGCCAAGAGACCTGGGTCCCTGGATTCTAGTTCCAGCTCTGCCTCCAAAATGCTGAGTGGTCACAAACAGCTCTCTCAGCCTTGGCCTCTCTGGCCCTCAAATGCCCTGTGCGGGTTGATTAAATGATCCCCTTCTAGTCCTCCTAGCACTGAAAACGCAGTGACACATCTCAGCCCAGCATTCAGAGACTCCGAGCTCTCCTTTCTGGAAGCTGATTCCTCACCCTCCTCCCTGCCCCGTCCATGGTGGGCTTGATCCCTGGGTGGCAGGTACCTACCTGGAGATTCTCCAAGGAGGGGAGGCCCTGAGGCTTGGCCCCCTCCCCTCAGAGGAGCGTCTAACCAACACCTTCTTCCTGAACCCTTTGGGGTTGGCCTGCGCCCCATCTGCCATATCCTGGGTTCTGGGGGGCCAGCGACATAGGGCTGGGAAGGTCCTGGATGTGCTCAGAAGGCTCTGGGGAGCAGGCCCCAGCTTCACGCTGCCACGCACACTGGCAAGGTAGTGCTGGGGCAATGCCCCTGGGCAGGAGGCAGGTGACAGATGCCCTAGAAAAGGGAAGCTCCACCTCTTCCCTCCCACTGCTGTAGCCCTGCCCACAGCTGGCTGGTAAAGTCCCCACTCCCAGTGTGCTGGAGCCTGGCCCCCTGGGGGGGTATATAGGTCTGACCAGGAGTTGGCCCCTCCCTATACACCTGAAAGGAAACTAGCAGGAAGTCCTTCCTTCCCTATCTGGAAGATGCTAAAGAGAAAAAAAAAAAATCATTCAATTATACTTGTCAGAGCACTGTAAGGTGGACTCTATTTAGGGAGGGTGGGGGATCACGTTTAGGTATAGGGTGGGGAAGAGAGATCAGACTCAACTCCAGATACAACAAGGAAAAGAGAGTTTCTAGCTAAGCAGAGGGCGGGGGTCAGTGGATGAAAAATTACTAAGAGAATACATCAGGGGGAAGGGGCTTCTAGCTAAACTAACTTAGCAGGATCCTTGCTGAAGGAGCCAGGGTGATCAGACGTAACTGGTGGTGGTGGGGGTGGAGGTTGAGGAACTGATTGGATATCGAAGGTGATCAGATATGGTGGCAGATTGTGGCTAAACCAACTTAGCAGGATCCTTGCTAAAATTAGACAATGAAGAGACACACGTGGAAGTCCAACGTCCAGGCCTACTTAAAAAGAGTTCAGAGGAGTCCAAGTGGAGCTTGGTCAAGGAGGTTTTTGTGGGGGACTCCTGCTTATAAGACATCTATCTGGAAGGTACTTGGTCCAGAATCTGGAAAGGACTCCCCACTCACATCTGGAAGGGGGCTTCATTTGTTTGAAAGCAGATCAGGACCTATCCCACCCAGGCTGGGATTGCAAGGGCATGTGTATTGGGCTCAGCTCTGGAGAGAAGGATTTCTCAGCCTTGGCAGGCCTGGCCTGGTTGAGAAGACCTCCATGTGATGGGGCTGTCCAGTACACCTCTGGTCTCCAGGAGCTGCCCTCCTCCCCATAGTTGTCACAACCAAATATGTCTCTGAACATTGCTAAGGGGACCCTTACAGACACCATTGCTTCTGGTGACAGGCCTCGTGGGCCAGGGAGCCAATTGCTTCTTGTTAGGAAGTGGGGGATGCATGGGAGAGGTGGGGCGAGAGAGCAGAGGGAGGTCCCTTGTCAGACTGAGCAGTTGGACAAGTGGGGCTCCAATTCTGGCACCCCCTTCCTGGCTGAGACCTTGACCAGCAGGCTCCCTTCCCTGCTGTCTGTGTCCTCAGCTGTTGGGAGGGTGGACCAAGGGTGCACAGAGTAAGGCTTGTATTGGCCACGGTCAAGTGTCCTGTGCTGTGGGACATGTGGCAGGGCTCAGTTTTAATGACCTGATAGTTACGAGGTAGAGATTGATCAGGGCTTTGAGGTGAATTGGGAGGGTGTGAATAGGGAAAGAACTCGTGGAAACTGACACTCCAAATGATCTCTCACCTACACATCAGTCCTCTCCATGTCCCAAACCTGCTGACAAGGGACAGAAAGGGCCCTGGGGCTTCCATGTCTAATCCCAGCTTTGCCAACTTCCTCTTCTGGCTATTCCAAACCAATGAACCCATCTCACATGTTGTTCATTCCCTCTCCCCCCTCCCTGCCCTCACCCAACTTCCTCTCTATTGAGCTAGTTCCCTCCCCTTCCCAGGAAGTTATTCTGGAAACATCCCTCTGCATCCAATCACACATTCTTACATAGGAGGGTGTTAATTTGCACTTGCTTATGCATTCCTTTGCAGATACCTGTATATGTTTTGATTTGTGGATCCTGACACCTCATTCAGACTAGGGAGCCTGGAGAGCAGGGTACCTTATTTCCTACCAGGACCCAGGAGTTCCCTGTGGGACAGGGTTTTCTTTGCCTCATCAAACTGGGAGTGACAAGGCAGGTGTCCGCCATCACTTGCCTGTACACGCTGGACTTCTACTTTTGCCTCCATGTTTGCATATATCTCTTAATGAGACCACCATGCCTCCAAAAAGGAAGAACGGAGACTTAAGGCCCAGTATAGTCCCCACGATGAACATACAGCCTCCACCTGCAGGTAGCTGGGAGTCAGTCAGATGTACATCCAGGCCAGGGACCTCTGAGAGCCTGTGCCCAGCACTACTGCCACTTTGTGTTCAGGAATTCCCACTGGAGGTGCTGGTCAGGCTGCTCTTCAGAGAGACCTGATTCTCCAGGGGAAGGATGGGCTCTTCGCTCCCCGCCCTCCCCCTACCAAGCACAGTGTGTTCAATAATCACGTCAATAAGAAACTGATCCACCCAGAAATTCCACTTCTGGGTTTGTTAACCAAGATACAAACCTGAGTTGTTTCCAGAGATAGATACAGAAGAACCTAACTAGGGTGCTTTTATGAGCTCTCCCTGCAAAACAGAAGCAACCAAAGTAAAGGGATTAGTTCAGCAAATTATTAACCACCCATCTACAATCATGTTTTCTATGAATATTTGATAATACAAAAAATTGCACCTTTATGGACGGAGTTATAGCAATTATTTTTAAAAGAGAAGATTGGTGTGCGCACATATAAAAGTCAGCAGGAAAGAGATATATAAAACATTAGTAATGTAATTACTAATGTTACTAATTACTAATTAATTAGTAATGTAGAATGGTGGTTTTTATATTCTTATTTGTAATTTTTGTATTAATATAAATATAACAATATATTCAACAACTAAGATAAAATGGTCAATTTTCTTTGAAGACACAAACTCACTCAACTGGAAATACCCTTGTATCTACTAAGGAAATTGGATATGTAGTGTAAACCTTTTCCATGATCAAACTCCAGGTCCAAAGGCCCTTACTTGCCAAATACTCAAGTTAGAAACCGTGTGGATTGTATCAGTTTGCTAAGACTGCTACAAGATACCATAGACTGGGGGCCTTACATGTTTCTCTCCTCACAGTTGTGGAGGCTGGAAGTCCAGGATGAAGGTGCTTCATTCTGAGACCTCTCCAGCTTGCAGATGGCTGCCTTTTCACGGTGTCCTCTAGTGGTCTTTCCTAGGTGTCCACAAACCCTTGCATCTCTTTGTGTCTCCAAATTTCCTCTTCTTATAGGGATATCAGTTATGCACAAAGGTTGGCTTCCACTTTTGGGGGAAATCAAGTGAATTAGGGCCTACTCTCATTGACTTAATCAGCCCACTCTCATTTTGACTTAATCGCTTCTTTAAAGGGCCTATCGCCAAATACAATCACATTCTGCTGATGTACTGGACATTGGGGCCTCAATACATGAAGTCTGAGGGACCCAAGTTAGCTCACAGCACCAAAGATATACAAACGCCTCAGAAAATACAAGTGGAGGAAATGTTTCCCAACTTAGTAGTCACTATTGTTCTGATACAAAGCCAGATAAAACATTACCAGTAAAGGAAATTACAGGCTAATATCTCTCATGAATGTAGATACAAAAATTCTTAACAAAATATTGACAAACAAATCTGATAATATATAAACAGAAAAATATACCATAGCCAAGTCAGGTTTATCCCAGAAATGAAAGGTTGATTAAAAAAAAAAAAAGGTTGATTTAAAAAAAACAGGCAGTGTAGGGCAGGGGGGAGAAATGACCCAAGCCTTGTATGCACATATACAATAATAAAAGAAAAAAATAAATTAAAAAAAAAACAGGCAGTGTAACACACCACATTAACAGACTAAAGAAGAAAAACGCCATATTATCATCTCAATAAATGTAACAAACAAAACAGAATCAACCAACAAACACCATTTGTCAAAATCCAGCATTCATTTCTGATTGAAAAATTGTCAGCAAACTTAGCTAGGTGTAGCAGCCGGCTCAGAGACTAAGGCAGGAGGGTCATGAGTCCCATCTAGCCTGGACTGCATATGAGTTTGAGGCCAGCCTGGGCTACCTAGAAAGACCCTGCCTCAACAAAACACAAGACAACAGTAACAACCAGAACAAACGTGTCAGCAAACGGAGCTAGAAGGGAACTTCCTCAAAGAGGATCTACAATAAGCCTATAGCTAACATCGTGCTTGATGGTGAAAAACTGAATGCATTCTCCCAAAATTGAGACAAAGATGGAAGAGGTCCACTTCCTCCACTTCCATTCAATATTGTGCTGGTGATTTTAGATAGTAAGGTAAGAAAAGAACTCAGACACAAAGAGAAAAGACATTCAGATTGGAAAGGAAGGAGTAAGATAGTCTCTACAGCCATAAACATAATTTTCCATGTAAAAAATCCTGTAGGCCCTTTTGGCTACCTGACCATCAACGGTCATGTGCATTCTTCTGTCTTATTGTGGCAGTGTTCTCACCTGGCTGAAGTTGACACTTGATGACATAAAGGAGAAGATTTACAGACTGGCCAAGAAGGGCCTGACTCCCTTGCTAATCAGTGCGATACAGAGGGAACCACACAGTGCTGCACAAGAATGGTTTGTGGTGGCCAGTAAAAGCTTAAGATTTCCTAAGTCCAAGAGCTGGGGGCATGGCTCAAGTGGTAGAACGCCTCCCTAGCAAGCACAGGGTCCTCAGTTCAAACTCCAGTACCACCAAAAAAAAAAAAAAAGAATTCCTAAGTCTAAAGAACTTGCTTCCTGACCTTCCTCAGGATCTCCTCCACTCAATTAAGAAACTGGTTGCTGTTTGGAGCATCTTGAGAGGAGGAACAGACAGAATGAGGAAGTTAAGTTCTGTATGGTTTTGATAGAGAGGCAAATACTGATTAACTTAATCTTAGAAGCCCAAGTGAGTCTCCCCCTCAAATGGAAATATGAGTCATGCACTGGTTGCATAAATTTATCTCTGCACTCAAGCAACAAAATCATTGTTTAACTAGAAACAAAAGCTCTTGTAGAATCTATAAAAAGCTACTGGA